TAAAAGTTAGCCAAAGAGTTTTCAGCACCTACCTTCGCATATCTTGCAAAACGTTGTGATGGAATGTGTCTGTACGGTGGCACATAACGTCTCTGACGGAAAAAAGAAAAACATCGAGCAAAAGATACATGTGTGTAATGAAGAGAAAGAGAAGCTGAACCCTCAGCTGATGCATGAACCATATCAGTTACCAGCAACATCATAATAACTATTAATCAGTGTCTCCAAGTAAGCCATAGATTTTAATGAGCACTGTGGTTAAAATAAACTGTTTTCTAAAACCAAAAGGTTAAAAATTTAATACAGTTTTACCTCTCTTGACCAACTAAGCAATGCAACTGGAATCTGCAATCCAAGAACGACAGCAAAACAGATGGCTGTATTTCTTTTCCAGTTGCGCGGATTGCACCACCATCCACCGGTCGGTGACCACACATACTTCGGATAATCAAACTTTTTTACCCCTCCCTGAATACAAAAGCAAAGGAAAATAATTAACCTACATCCATATAACATCAGGGACGAGAAAATCCACCAAAAATGCGCAAAATTGTGTAGAAACAAACCATTTTCTGGCAATATTAATCTCAGCCCCTGTCGACCAAGTAGCCAGGCCTTGCGTCGTTTGCTCGCAGGGAACCCCGGGACTTTTCTCCCACAGCTCCATGCGGTCGCATAACGCATGCTTGGACGCTTTGCCGCTTCAACAAATTTTCAAAGATGGCGGAGTCGACGGAACTGGTAAGGTCGCGTGAAAAAAAATTAATTTAATCAGACATTTAATCCTCGCATTTGACACGCCAAAATTTTCGAAAGACTTTCCAGAATACTCACTTTATCAATCAGTATAATCTTCCAGGAGTTTCTCTTCCTTGTAGATTTGTTATGAGCAATGTTTACGTTGCCAATAGACTTGTCAACCATACGAAGCGGTCTTTCGTGTTTGCAAATCGGAAGTCGCTAAGATTTTCGTGATCTTGGTGTAGCGTGATTCTTATTTTCTGTTTTGAATTCCTACAGTCCCCTAAAGCTCCAACGGATGATGCAGGTAATTTTTCCTTTATAATAAACGAGTTTATTAAAATGTAGATTAATGAACTTTTGGCAATTAACAAGTTTTTATGAACAAAATGGAATTAAACTTTTATCTTCTTTGTGGATATTTTTGTATCGGTATTAGGTGATTCAACAGACCAGGAATACGAAATCACAGCTGATATGATGGTGCACGATATTGATGATGAAACAACTATGGATGAAGAAGAGTTAATGGCAGACAAGGACGAATTTAATGAAGATGAACTATCAGCGCTTCAAAAGGTAAAGAAAAAAAGTTTTTATCCCAATTCATTACCAAAAAACGTTTTCAGTTTTTTGGGAGACTGAATTTTTGAGCTGTGTTTTAATTTTAGATAGGGGAAAAAATGAAAAAACAGCGTTTTTTTGCACTTTTTCACTTTCTAGATATTGACTGTTTCTTCCTGTTTCAGGTGTAAAAATAACAAGGTTTTTTTGTCAATTATTTTTTTTTGACCCATCAGTGCAATTTAAGTAATAAGGTGTCAATATTCATAACTCACTTACATTGTATTGTAGGATTTAGATCAATGAACAAAGTTTGAAATCTGGGCTTAGTTGTTTGAAGGCCGATTTGTGCTAACCCAAGGTTAAATTTTAATCTGAGTTTCTTCATTCCTTTATTCTAAAGCCTGTTTGGGATAATTTCTCATGTTCTTTTAAGAGCATCAAATAGTCATATTCTAGAAAAAAAGAATTTGACTGAATTTTGTTTTAAAGCTATTAGATCTGAAATCAGATTTCACATTAACCCTGGCGTATTTTAACCCAGCTTTGAACAACTTGGCCCTGTTTTAATTCATTTTTCAGAAGTAAAATTGAAATTATTTTATTGAATGAAAACTTTTGCCTTTTCATTACTTTGGCCAATCTAATCTGCAGTTCTTATCAAATATTTCACCATACGGAAAAAAAAAAATTTAAAAAAGGGGTATTGTCATCTTTCCCCCTGGATGGGATGGTAGTCCTCCCTCCTCTCCCCTTCTGCCTCCCAGTATTTTGTTAGACTTCTCTATCAAGTTGCCATTACCAATTTATACTCTTGGGGGGGGGGGGGGGGGGGGTTCAAAGCTGGGTTGAGTTTACTTAGGGTTAGTGTGAAATTTGATTTCAGATCTGAAAGCTTTAAAAGAAAATTAATTTAAATTCTTTTGTATATAATTTGTTGATTGGATGGTCTAAAAAGAATCGGGAACATTTTCTTTAACAGACTTTTGAATAGAGAAATAAAAAATGTGGATTAAAATTAATTTTTAACCCTGGGTTAGTGCTAATTAACTGTTGAACAATTGGGCCTTTGTTGGAGAGAAGCACTTTCAGAGTTCAATGTTGTACACACGGACACTACATAGTGATTGGGTCTGAAACTTAGACCTCATATCGAAGCTTTCAGTTTGTTTATTTCAAGACCACTGTATCTCCTACTTACTGTTTTATAAAATGAAATGCTTAGAACTATTCCTGCTCTTAATAGTATCAAATACATTTTTGTATATATGACTAGGAACAGGACATGCCTCTTGCGGAATTGATGGCAATGTATGGGTACTCAGATGAGGCTAACCCAGAAGCTGATGTACCTTTAGATGAGATTAAGCCTGAGCCTCTTCCCCCTCTGATTGACGCCAGTGAAATTGATCCTCCACATCCTGTTAATCCACTGCTTGGAGAAAGTGCTCTGCCAGAAACTACAGAGTCTCCAGCAGTTCATTCCCCAGACTCTCCTCTGTCAGTGCCATCACCAGGGTCTCCACAGTCCCCTCCTTCACCAAGAGCTAGTCGGGATAACAACTTCTTTCCCGAAAACCAAAGGATAACCAGAGGATGTAAGTAATACACTCTGATAAGTGATCAAAAAGTAATTTCTCTGCACAGGACCTCTATGTTTTTAAGCAGATGAATGATGAGAATTAAGATGAGGGAAATTATCTGATTTACCGGTAAGACCAAATTCTCATCACTGAAAGCATAAGAAGTGTATTCAAACAGTAAAGAGACTTTCTTTTTGGATGGTTTTTAACCCATATTCATTGACAGCACTTGTAGCCATTCTTCAGCTCCCTTAGATTTTCTGGAATGAATAATGGTATTTTAATATTTTTTGGTCCTCAGTGGCTGCTGCTTATAGTTATTTCAATCTTGGTGAAAGTTCTTCATCTTCTGATGACGAGGATTATTCACCAGAAGACTGGAAGAAGGTGAGAGAAGCACTTTCTTGATGAATGTAGTAGCGTGCCTCTTTTTTCATACAGTGGTTAATTGATTTCTGTTGAATTAAGAAGTAAATTGTATACAGTGTACTATGTGAGTTTATTTTAGTTCTGACTAGAGCACTTTGTTGACTGGTTCTGTAGTGTAGCTAGTAACTTTTATGAAACTGTATTTATTTATGCACTAACTATATATTTATCTACTTTTTTTAGGAGATTCAAATTGGACCTGATCATCAGGCAGAAGTCCCAGAAGTACTGGGTCCAAACTATCAAGATGGTGAGTTGATCTAATTGTTTCCAATTGGTATTCAAACCAAAACAAATATATATAAAAAAATACAAAACAAAAAAAAACAATGTGATTTATATGTGCTTGATTTTTTTTGAAAACAGCTCCATATTTAAAAGATGACAAGTGTCTTTGGGATCCAAGGAAAGTTAATGGAAAAGATTGTAAGTCCATTTTTCTTTCATTTCATTGCTACATCTTTATCCTGGCGGCATCTTATGGTCTGCACTCTTTTTCATACTTACATGTAGCTAGCGAAATATGGAACTCTCTCCCAGACACTTACAAAACATTAAATTTTCTAGAATTCAAGCAGGAGATCCTCAGATATGAAGCTTTTCCACAGTAGATCTACAAACTATATTTCCCTCTGCATGCATAATGTTGTATATAGTTTATAAATAACATTGGAATTGTAATATAGCATATTTTTATTTTATTTTAGCTTATTTTCTTGAAGGTATTAGCTCTACTGCTACACTGTGAATTTTGAGCATAAATAAAGTATATGTATATATGTATTATGTATGTACGTACGTACGTATGTATGTATGTATGTATCACATACAGTGCAGATATGACTTTCTGATTTTCCAGCCTGATATCCTTTTTTTGTTCCCCTTTCAGTGCAGCGATATCTCAATGCAATATGCCAAATACCAGGCTTGGAGGGAATGAGGAGAGATGTTATTAGAGATGATGAACAGGTAAATGGAAATTTTCATCTACAATAGTGTCAGAGTTGAAGTAATAATCTGGAACATAGAACAAGAAGTGATTACTGTAGGCAGTTGCAGATAAGCTGTTCTCACAGATAAGCCACATTATGCATTTGACAACTCAAATTTTAGAAAAAAGTTTTTGTAAAAAAATCACTAGAAATCACAAGTGAAGTCCTAACCCTTTAACTCCCATGAGTGACCAAGACAGAATTTCTCCTTACATTATTAATACAATTTTAAGTGGAAAAGTGATGAGAATAAAGAAAAATATCAGTTAGAGGATTATAAGTCGATTCAATACCAAATTCTCCAAACTAACATCACAAGAACTGTATGGCAGACTTTTAGGAGAATTGCTTATGAGATCTTGGGAGTTTAAGGGTTAAGGAAGTACAAGGTAGCTTTAGATTACTTGCTTCGATGAATATACACCTGCAAAAAAAAATCACTTACCTTGGAAATGGAGAATACTTTGAATCATTACCCATGATAGTATCCTATAATTAGCTATAATAGTATCCTCTATGGTATAGACATCACATCTACCAACTTAGACTTATTTTCTTCTTACAGTTCAACCTGCTTTCACCTAGTTTTTCCCAGTGCTACAAAATTGGTAGTTTTCATTCATGAGCTAACTATAATTTGGTCCAAACTTGCAGGCCCTGTACTTGCTTTTACAGTGCGACTATATTGTGGAAGAAGCTATTAGCAAAAGGAAATCGCAAACAAATCCACAAGCAGGTTTGTGATAATTTAGTTCCCAAACTTCATTTAAAAAAGTAAATATTTGTCTTTACATAGTCAAGATATTGTGATCAGTAAAAGCTAGAAAAAAGGCTTATATTGCATGGTGTGCATGTATTTTATTGTTTAGAAATGGCTCTTTGGTCTGAAGATGAGTGCAGAGACTTTGAAAGTGGTGAGTTACTACATGTAATTGTTATTACATGAAAATGTTTTAAACTTGTAATAATTATTTAATATTTTTCAAATATAAATTATTTAATTTTTTGAGAATATTTTTGAGAAAAACATGTCATGGCTGTACCAGTTCAGTCTGGTGGTGCAGAGGAGTGAATGCAGGTTTTCTTCTTCTTTCAGGCTTGAGAGTTTATGGGAAGGATTTTAGACAGATACAAAAAAATAAGGTAGGGTAGGCTCTGATCTATTTCATGCCCAAAATATGATGGACTGAGTTGTTAACTGGGTAAAAATGATAGAATGAAATTTGATCAACTTTGTGAAATAGTCAGTTAAACTGGATTCTTTTTCCAATCTTATGTTAATTTATAGTACTTTTAGACCAGGTTTCCCATTCCAAAATTTAATTTTATGTTAATATTTCAATTGTTGATAGAATGTTTGTGTTTTGATTCAAGGTATGATTTGAATGGTATGAACAAGTTTCAATGTTTGTGTTTCTGATTAAGATAGAATGAAAGTAATCATTAGACAGGTTTGGAAATTTGAACGGAAGGAAAACTCTAAACTTAAACATTTGCGTATTGCAGGTTATATCACGTAGCGTGGGAGAAATTGTTCAGTTTTATTATTTGTGGAAGAAAACTGAACGTCATGATGCATTTGCTTGCCAAACAAGGTTAACCAAAAAGAAATATGCATTTCATCCTGGTATCACGTAAGTGTTATTTGAGTTTGTTTGATAAGTAAACTTGCAGTGATCTGTTTACTGAAGGAGATGCCATACATGTTATGTATGGTCTGAGGGGAAACAGTTGGTTTGTTTTCCCAAGAGTCCTGATGTTTCCTGAGACAAAGTTGAAGGAAATATCAGGATTCAAGGTAAAACAGAACTAACTAGTGTCCTGAGGAACCATACATTAAGTGCTTTGTTACATATTTAGATCTTCCCTTAACCAATTATGTGCTGTTGTATTCAGCGTGTGGGCAACGACTGCGCAATTATATCCTGGTCGTGATACATTTGAATTTGATCAGGAGCACATGACTAAGAATCAACCAATCACAGTACTTGTTTTGTTGAGTGAAAGTCTAGGTATATATATATATGTATATATCTGAGTCCCCCATAATGAATTGAAGCACACAACTTCAAATTTTTTGGCTACAAGTTAAAAGATGGCATGTTTTAAGCTTGGAAATTGATTTAATGTGCATGATGATGGACCGTTACTTGAGTCATTATTGTTAAACTGAGGTTTCAATTTGATTCAGGGATTACATGGACAGATTCTTGGATGAAAATGAAAGTGCTGCATCAAGTCGTGCATCCAGTCCCCACAACTTTACAACATCAAGAGCATGGCCAGGAAATGGCATTGCACCTACCACCATTCAAACCTCAAGTCAGTCAGTAGCAATACAACCAGCCTATACTATTGGAGCCCCTACAGCAGCCCAGAGCACTGTTGTCACAATCAATGGCTCAAACTCCAATGCTTCATCTGTCTCATTGCCAAGGAGAGAGAGGGAATCCCATGAAAATCCTACCAACAGACAAGTGCAGCAACAGCAATCTTGCGTTCCAACATCTGTTATAGTTTCAGGTCCAGATTCTGGTGGCGAACCGCCAACCAAAAAGTTAAAAATCCTTCCTGGTTCACGGCCAAAGCTGATCAACAGCATGCTGAGTAAACCACCTCCTTTGAAACCTATTGTGTCAGCAGGATCTGGGGCATTCCATCCAAATAATCTAGGAAGTGTACCATTGCCTCCAACAAGTGTTTCAAGTTTTAACGCATCAAATTCTCATGAACCTTCTTATCTACCTGTGCAGAACACACCAGCTGTTACAGATTCTCTTCTCTTTACCCACAACAAGTGATGTCTGCTCTGACTTAAAATGGTGTTACTGTCACATTCACTGGTGCAGATGAATACCCATCAGTGAACTTCACAAAGAAGAAGTTGTTTCACAATGCAGATGCCTTTTCTCTACTCCCAAGCTTTTGGGCTAAATACAACTTAAGGCTTTTACACTAATTAATGTTACAATTAGTTAATTCTCCCCTGTATCTGCGATATATTTCCATGTAAATTAATTCACAAGGCTTTGGTGTTAGATCAAGGCAACAACTTCTACCTGATAAATTTGAATATTCTCATAACCTGTTTGTGGGATGATGTGTGGATATTATAGGGAGAAGTTATATGTTAATCACTTTGAGGAGTTAAAGGGTTAATAGACACTTTCCTAAAGCTGACATCTCTTCCTACAGCCATGTCGGCAAAACTCTATCAAGTTGCATAGTACCCTAACTTTAAAAGGCTCCTGGCACCTATGTAAACCTACTGTGTACAAAGTTGAATATTAGTAAGAATTAATGTACATTGCATTATCATAATCCTGTGGCGTTATGAAATTATTTATTAAATCTGGCCATGAAAGAAAGTTACATTGTCCCAAATATTTCGTCGGACAGAGGAAGGTTTTAATTAGAGAGTTTTAGTCAGAGTTTTTTTGTTCATTGGACAGTATTTTCACTGTAGGGATCTTTGAATTTTTTCTCATTGTAGTATTGTAGACTGTACAACTGGTTTTCAACCTGCAAAATGTTGGTAGCTAATTTAGGTTGTAACTAACAAATTAGGCTGCTGGTTGAAATTTCAAGTGAGGCAGTTCAAAGATAGAGTTTGATATTGAATAATTGTTTGTGTACAACTTCAGGAGTGCCTATTTTGCTTTTCCAAGTGATCTAGGCCAGAAATCTGGCCAGCAATTGCAGATTTGCTTTCAAGGAAAATTTTGCTATCCTGCTGACTGGCTGTTGGCTTCCTCAGCCTGAATTTATTTATTTTCCCTATGAGGATTCAGTTTATTTTGAGTGTTTAGTGCAAAAGTTATAGTAATATTTTTCCTCCTAGCCATAATTTTAAGATGCAGAATAACTCTAAGACTTTCATTTTTAAAACTGCTGTAAATGCTATTTTTTTTTGAGGAGAGGAGCACTTGTGGACGTTAATTCAAAAAATCTGCTGGTCAATTTATCACAACTGCTCCTTTTTTCTTTCGAAAATTATTGGGTGTTTTTAATATGAATTTATTTTAAGGGTGCAACCTAAAGTATTTGCTAGTTATATTTCTTTAAAAAACTTTAATGCTGGGCTTATCAGAGAATTCCGTAGGTTCGATGGAGTTGTTTGATGGATTTAAAGGACAGATGTGAAAAGTCACTTTTCCCTCTTTCAAAATTTTAAATTGAATAAGCAGTTACCTAATAATGAAGTTTGTTGAAATGCTATAATTATAATAATTGTTATATTTGGTAGACTAGGGATAAGAACTGACCTATCCAATTACTGATGTATCCAGTGTGTGTTTTGAAGTTTGGTTTTGCAGTAACACTCTTTGAAGTTTATATGTAAGGTAGTAAATTCAATTTTCCCTTGCCAAATCAAAATGTGATTTATCCAGGAAAGTTATGACTTTCTGTTCCATTGCTACAAATCTTGTCAAAATTTTTAATAACTTTTTGAAAAGGGGCATGTTTCCTCATGAACAATCAGTAATGATTAAGAAATGTGTTTCTCTTCATAAATTTTTTTATTTGACGAGGTGCATAAGAAATGAATGCATGGGTTTCTGTGCCATAAAATTGGCAAATACAAAGGAAACATAAATGCAAAGACTTTTTCTTTTCCTAGCATAAGAAAAACAAATCATCTATGGCTGATTGCTTTCATGCTAAAACTGATTATGAGAAGGAAAATTTGTATTTTGGTTAACAACAATAATACTGTTTATACTAAAAATCATTAAGGCGATCTTTGGCTTAAATGTATAATAAAAATACACTGTTGTCAGCTTGGTGGGATTTATTTTAGGTTTGTAAGCTGGGTGAGCTGTTACTCTATTGAAATCATGCAATTTTATTTTGTATGCACTCCAAAGAACTACCTTGGATTGATTTCAATGATAAATATATATATCCTATTTAGATGTTTTGGTGTGTAGTATCACTGGATATTTTTACCAGTTGTGCAAAATACAGACAGTGAGTTACTCAGTGATACTAAATACAAAAACATCTTATAAGTTATTTAGTATCCAAATGCTTTATTTCACATGCATTTCTTAAAGAGTGAGAAGGGAGAGCTGATTGGAAAGTGTAGCGCACTTAGCCAACTGGTTAAACAGGTTTTTTTTAACCATAGAAAATAACTGACTGTACAATATTGCAGGATATTTGTACTTGATTCATGCATCATTTGTACTTTACTTGGTGCAGTTGGATAACACGATATATTAATTTAAAAAGTATTGAACAAAGGTCGTCAGAGATCAGTGTAATTGTTTCAGTTGCTGTCATTATTAAGATTCATTGTAAAATTGTAAATTTGAACTGTAACAGTTTCTCACAAAGATAACCATGGCAACACCCAGATATGTAGCCTTACTATTTGGTTGGCTAGAATAATACTATTCAATTTCAAAGTCTTTCTTTGTTCTCTGTTTCTTTGAAAGGTTAAAACTTCCTGGCTCATTAGAGAATGGGAAGCTATTAAAGACTTGGCCTGCAGAGCAGGCATAATTTTGGCTAGAAAGTGTTCAGTATTTTCTTAATGAAAATTTTTGCAGCCATCTTTGATTTAAATGGCAGCAAAGGCTTGAGGGAGAAAGGAATTTGTACCAAGGGGGTAGTCCACAGTAAAAAACTCAGAGGGGTGGGGGAGTGAAGTTTGCACAGTCAGCAAGATAAGATTTGGTGTATACTGTGTTAAGTATGCAATTATTTGATTGGAAAACCATCAATATTTTAAAAAACTGCCAAACTTTCAAATACATTGGCATTACATTTAATGCTACATAACACCTCATTCAAATGAAATCAGCAATCGAGAAAAAGGAAACTTGCCTTTCATTAACGCCTTCACTTCTAAGATCTCATTAATAATTCTCATTACTGTCTGTCATACAATTATTGTGATGTTACAGCAGTTTGTAGAATTTGGTCTTGGATCAACCAATAATTTCCTAATTTACATGTTTTTATTCTCATCACTTGTCTGCTTGATATTGTAGTAATATTGTAAGGAGAAATTCTGTCTTGGTCACTAGTGGGAGTTAAAGGGTTAAATGATTTCACAGATGTGCAGTCTGAGTGAGCCACTGGTAATCCACTGGTGAGTGAGCAAGGTTTTCAGTAATAGCTGCTTACTGGCAGCCTACCACCACCCGTAAGATCTCTTACTGCTGTCTGTTAAGCCTGCAGGCTGGAACTCCTGTTTGGGATTTGCCTTGCAGCCTGATTACTGGGTGTAACTGCTCACTGTGCCTAATATACCATTGCTAGCCACTAATATAAAAAGTTATTGAAATCCTGATCTAATCTTGTATGAAACAGCCCTCCTTACTGCTTAGATCAGTGCAGTGTTCAAAGCAGCATTTGAAGAAACTTCAAAGGGTGTTCATACTCTGGGCCTGGTTCAAAGGCTGATTAGGGCTAACCCAAGGTTGAATTGTAATCTGAGGTTCCTAATTAGTCCTTTGTTCAAAAAGGCTCTATTGGGCAGTTTTCTCTATTCTTTATAGAGCATCCAATCATCGAATTCTGTACAAAAAGAACTCTACTAAATATTCTTTTAAAGCTTTCAGATCTGAAATCAGATTTCTCACTAACCCTGGGTTAGCTAAACCCAACTTCGAATGAACCGGCCATGTTGTGTTTCCTATGAGTTAACACATTCTTTTCCTGTCTACTTCTTGGGTAGGAGATGGCATTTTTTTTAACCCGTTACACATCCTTTCTTGAGTGTTCAGAAAGTTAGGCTTCAATCAAACGGCAACACGCAGTATTATCTTTGCACTTGTGATGACAGAGGATACTGTAAAAAACAGATGTCAGCATTTAACACATACTGCATTTGGTCTAGCTGAGCGCTTCATTCCATTGTATCCACCATCTTAACTGCGACATGGTAACCAGCGACAAGGACAAAGATCCAGGCTAACATCACAAGGCTGGTCACAAACTGAGAAATAATATGCAGGGTTTACGTGAGTTGTAGACTACACTTTACATTGGAGTGGAGCCATGTTGAATGACGAAAGGATGGTTAATTATTTCTTTTAGTTTGAAGCTAGAAATTCAGCTTACCAATGTGGGTAGTAGTTCTTTCAGTCGATAACCCATAGCTTAGAGTACTTTTATTTAAACAGAGATGTCAGAAGAGGATCCTTCCTGCATTTTATTTTCGTCCGAATGTGCACGCACGTAAGGAAATAGTAACGCGGTTATCACTTTCGACCATGCTCACTACCAACACCTCAAAAACGTTCATCTCCAGTCTTTTCCTGCCAAGAAGCCTAGCAACGTTTACTAGATATGAAATCTTTAGTAGTACTCGCAGTGGGCGATAAATAATATCACGATTTCACCTTCAACTTTTTCAAACATACCGTTAAAGAAGAATTAAAGTGCGATCTAACTAGAACTATTTGCACTGCAACCATGAATCGGAGCGAAGTGAGGAAGAAGGCCTCCATGTAAGTCATAACAGATAAAAGTTTCTTGTTGATGTTTTCTTAAAAGTACAAGATACAGCTGAATTATTTCTAAACTTAGAAAACCTGGAGGGGGAGCCGCGTCCATTAACATGAATGCCAGCCGTAAAAGCAGCCACAGTTTTGGTAGCAGAAGCATAAGAACGATCGGGGGAGGTTCAAGGAATAATCTGTTTAATTCGTCAAGTCGTAAGAGCGTAGCGATTGATTCAAGCAGAGGTGATAAACCACAGTCGAAACCTCCAGTGCAGGTAGGATCGAGATTTGTACCGAAAGATAAACTGTACCCTTTCGTATAGAAGAGAATCAAAGGTGTCAACAGACTTGTCCGTGTTCATATAAAAACCATGGAATTGATTAATTGATTAATTGATTAATTGACATACGACAGCTACAGCATTGATGGATTTTTTCCGTTCATAATTTAGAGATTTGAGGTGACTTTAAATTGTACGTACGGCTTTAGATCGCTACAGAAACTTGAATTAGATCAATTCGTAATAAAAAACAAGGTGAGTTTTCCACACAGCCGAACTGTTCTTTATGAATACAGCTTTTGGATAAATAAAACAATGGCGAAACAATAGATTGCCTTTAATTTGGGACTATGATGCTATAATTCCTGTACTAAATTCTTTTATTCCCTGTAATGTACTTCCATGCAAAGGATTTTGGAAAAGGATCATGCACAGGTCATAAATTGATTCTCAAGGGCACAAATTTTAGACTTGAACAAGGTTCTAAGATCTGTGCTTTTACGCTCTTTAAAGATCTGTGGGATCATCCAAGTTCCTTTGGATTCTTCACAGGTTTATTTTTGAGGGCATTATAAAATTGGCACAAACTGCATTTGATTCTCAGTTGGTTGATTTTACTGTTGATCAAATTATCTCTTGGTCAAAGGTGTTTGATGACATGGGGCAAGATGTCACTCCAAAGAGTCTTCTCCAAGTTGATCCTGCTGTCAAGTGAGTTGTTTAAATCGCATGCAATTTATTCGTTGATAAGATGTGATTATGATAGTTGCAATAATTGTTTAAATCAATCATTATTTTACAGTGATAAGAATGTGAGTATTAAATAGATAAGATAGATTCCATTTTGTCATGCATCTGTTCAGTAATAAATCATAGATGATGTCAAAATGCAGCAAGAACAAAAAACTGGCACATAAGGCACAAGGAAGTGTGTCAGGTGTAATAATCTTACCTTAGCCTGCAGAGCAGACGTCTTATTAGTGTGAGCTAACATTACAATCTCTTGTTCTTTTATCCAACTGGCCATGTTTGATTTGGAGTTAGAGAGTAGGGCAAAATCCTCACTTCTCCAACCCTACCCTTCTCCTTATTTTTGACTGATGACGCCCCCTTGGTACAAATTTCTTTCTCTCCAGCCTTCCACCACAATTAAAATCAAAGATGGTAGCCACAATTACGACTGCTCTGCAGTCTAAATCTTACCAAATTTTGACATCATCTGAGATCTTTTGCATTATAAACCCACAACAAAATGAAATTTATTTGTTTTATATTATAATTAAATAAGCAAGATGTTGTCAGTGGCAACACCTTCTGTGAGTCTGCCCTGTAATAGATCATAAGTAAGAACCAAGCAAAATGTGTGTTTAATTCAGTTTATCAGATAAAATTAGAATATTCAGTAACAGTTGTGTTACTAAAGTCCTCTCATGCATGGGTACAATATGAGACAATCAGTTTGTTTTACGGTATTGATTCAGTTGCAAGATTGTGAATTTTGTCATCTGAGAGTTAATGAACATCTTACAAAATACTTAAGGTACTT